CCTGGAGACCTTTATACACGAGACGTTCGCTGAAAGAGGCCACATGATCGCCATCTTTTTTTACCTAGAAAAAGCCTTCGACACAACCTGGAAGTACGGCATTCTTCGAGACCTGCACGCACTCGGCATACGCGGTCACCTCCCTGCCTTCATTGGCAACTTCCTGAAGAACCGTTCCTTCCAGGTTCGTGTCGGATCCTCCCTTTCAGACCCCCACAAACAGGAGGAGCATCCTTTCTCCTCTCCTCTTCGAAATTAAAATAAATTCCATAGTAAAAACCCTCCAAAACAGCATAGGCAGCTCGTTGTACGTTGACGACTTTTTGATATGCTGCCGTTCGAAAAATCCTCATTTGAGATCTATGGAAAGGCAGCTGCAAATACAAACTCGAAACGTGGGCAAACAATAACGGTTTCAAGTTCTCCCCGTCAAAGACGGTTGCAGTACACTTCTGCCGAACAGGCAGACGTGTGCTGCAGCCGGATTTGACACTATGCGGAGAAAGGATTCCCGTCCAGGACCAAGCTCGTTTCCTCAGCGTCATTTTCGACAAAAAACTCACATTTATACCACACATCAAAGACCTTCGTGTGAGGTGCCAGAAAGCGTTAAACGCTTTGAAAATTCTATAAAATCCGGAGTGGGGCGGGGACTCAAAACACCTTCTCCACCTGTACATCTCCCTTGTCCAGTCCAGGCTTGACTATGGCTGTCAAGTCTACGGATCGGCAAAACCACACGTCTTAAAAATACTAGATCCAATACAGAACCATGGACTCCGCCTCGCTCTGGGGGCTTTCCGCACTTCTCCGGTGGAGAGCCTCCAGGCCGAGGCCAACATACCACCACTCTCACTCAGACGCACACAACTCTCACTACAAATTCTTTTCCCTGACCTCCCTCAGTGGCACCTCACCAAGGCAAAAGTAGACTTACAGCTGACCACACACAACAAACAAAGCACAAACACCAAAACTTTTCAAGCAGAATACAAAAAACTAATAGATAAATACCCCGGTGCGGAGCTCATCTTCACAGATGGCTCCAAAAAAGACAATGAAGTGGGCGCCGCAGCCCTATCTTCCAACAGTACACACCAGAGGAGACTCCATCCTGAAGCCTCCATTTTCTCTGCGGAGGCCACTGCCATTGACATGGCACTGGACTCTGTAGAAAATTCTCCTAACAAATCTTTCCTTATCCTTTCTGACTCTCTGTCTTGCATCACCTCACTCACAAACTACACACTTTTACACCCAAAAATAGTTAGGCTACAACAGAAAATCCATACACTATCCGAAACTGGAAAAAACATCATGTTCGCATGGATACCTAGCTATGTGGGCATCCGAGGAAACGAGCAGGTAGACGACCTGGCGAAGAAAGCTTCGTCCCTTCTGCTGGGATCAACGACAAACACCCTCCCACAGACTGACTTTAGAAATAGAGTCAAAAAGTACACCTCCAGTCTGTGGGAGAGCCACTGGGAAAACCAGAAAAATAATAAACTATATGAAATAAAACCCAAACTAGAACAGCGAAATCCTTCGGACCTCTCCAGAAGAGACGAAGTCATTTTTACTCGATTGCGCATCGGACACACGGCCCTGACCCACAAATACCTCCTACAGGGAGATGAGAAGCCGTTCTGTGTCGCATGTGACACAGATTTTACCATTAGACACATTTTAACAGAATGTCTAGACTTTGGAGAGATCCGAAGGAAATATTATAAATGCAAGAAATTGCAGGATATTTTTTCCGTCGTTGTTCCCAGCAGAATTTTGAATTTTATAAAGGCCATTGGCCTTTATGGCGAGTTGTAGAATGAATTTGATATTATTAAAAATAATTATTGTTACTTAAAAGAGTTGTTTTAAACCACAAATGTATTTACACCGAATTTAAATATTTTAACCTTTTAGCATTTTAAAGTAAATTAGTTAACCAGTCGTGAAGTGAACTTTTGCAAACTTGTGTTTCGCGCGCTCATATGACCTTAGCAGTTGCGAGCGCTGTAAAACCTTATACTATACTAAATACTAACCATAGACTTAAGAGGATTTACTGCGTATCATCACATTCACACGGAGAACCAGATTGCTTCCGGTAGAACCACCATCTACACCGACAACAACACACTCCACTGACAAATACATCTTAGGACGACCAGGCTATTGCCGTACGGGTCACCCTGCACAGACCAATCATGTTCTGCTCACTTTATATCCCACCAAATTACCCCCTCAAAATAACCCAACTAAATAACTTAAAGGCCCAGCTTCCAAAACCGTTTATTTTGCTAGGTGATTTTAATGCACACAGCCCCCTTTGGGGAGACAAACTTACAGACCAGAAAGGAAAAATAATAGAAGATTTTTTATTTCAAAATAACAGCTGTCTATTAAATGATAAGTCTCCCACTTACAGAAACAGAGCCACTTTTAGCACTTCATCCCCTGACCTCCCCTTTTGTACCCCTGACCTAGTCCCAGATTTTGAGTGGTCTGTGCTGGATGACAGTACGGAACATTTCCCAATTCTTCTAAAAAACAATAGCCTCCAAAACGACCAGATCCCAGAACACTTCAACAACAAAAGAGCACACTGGGACAGGTTTGCCTCTGAATGTTCCCTGATTCTGAATCCCACTTTTGACCTCAATTAAAAAAAATTCCTCGAAAAGCTTTTAGAAATATGCCACAAACACATACCAAAAACAAAAACAAAACCCCGGAAGAACAAGATCTGGTTGTCTGTGGACTGAGGATGCAGTAAAAAAAAAGAAGGCAGCATATCGAAAAGCTGTCAACAACACCACCACAGATTGACAGAAAACAAAATTAATTATTTAAAGGCTCGAGTTGAGGCACGTAGATGCCTCAGGGAGAGCAAAAGACATCCATTCAAAAAATGCATCTCCAAAATCAACAGCCAGACACCACGCAACCAAGTTTTCAAAATCGCAAATAAGTTTTGGGTAGACGCACAGACACCGTCCAACACGTTCAGAGTCTCATCCCAAGCAAACTACAACACCACCTTCCAAAACATCAAAACTAACAGAGAACAACACCACCTAAACTTCCACTCAAACAAAACTGAAACCTACAACGCAGACTTCGCATTAGACGAACTAACTAACATCGTGCATGATTTTGATAAAGGCCATTGGCCTTTACGGAAAGTTGTAAATACATTATGTTTTGATTTTAAGCAGATTGCCATTTTTACATTGTTATATTACCACAAGTTTTTAACACTTTAAAATCTGATCGTTGACCCGAACCTAGCCGTGCAATGAACTGTTGTGAAAGCAACCAACTTGTGTTTCGAGCTCTCATATGACCTTATGCAGTTGCGAGTGCTGTAAAACCCCTATTAAAACAAACAAAAGTTTAGATCACTAAAATGAAAATCCCTTGAATGTTATTACTAGCAAAAAGAACATTTTTATAAAGTAAAAAAAATTCTAACTGGGACTCCAGATTTAAAAAAGTGAACGTTAAACTAAGTTACAGTCAAGGTATTACGTTTATCTTTGCCTTAGGTCCCTGCACCACTTTTTTACATCTAGATATAACTCAGTCAGTTATGTTGAGTTCAACACAAGTGGAGTCGACTGTTTACTTAAACACCAACAAGAAGACACTTTTCAAACCCAAGTATATTACGGTGCACCACCCTTCGGCCTTGAAGGGAAGAGAAGCAGCATCAGTAATGGACGTGGTTATTGTGTTGTGGCAGAGGGCTGATTGTATTTCTACGTTAAGTATCACTAGTGTCAATGATTCACAGGCAAAAGTATTTAAAAGTAAAATAGCACTTCAAATCAAGTGTTTTTACCGTTTTGTGGAACTCAACATACCATTTGAGTTTAACGAAATGTAAAGAAGAGAATGATGCTGGGACCTGAAGCAAAGATCAACTTAATCGAAGATCAACTCAAACGGGTTCAACACAAGTGGAGTCGACTGTTTACATAAATCACCAACAAAAAGACACTTTGCAACCACAAATCACACAGCAAAATTATTTCCTTTGAAGTTGGACTGTAGTGACTATTTGACAGAGGAACCCTGTTAAACTGCCAACTTCATGCTCATTCTAAGAGTGGTGGTATTAGTAGGTATGAAATTTTTACAGCATGTTTACATGATAAATGCACTGACAGAGGCTTTTGACTTGAAAACGGATAAAACTCTTAGAAAAAAAACCTGTTGTGTATTTATTGCTATTTTTGGCATTAAAATAATGGATTTGGAAATTCTATCCTCATTCAAAAACTATGAGTAGCAAAAATCTGTCTTGTCATGACACAGATATTGTCTCAGTCTGTGTGCAAAATTTCAACTTTATAGGGTTGGCATATTTTTTTTCTAGAGTGTATATTATGAAATGTTCATGTCATGACCTTTGCTAGGTCACAGAGCCCAAAATTAATGATGGAACTTGACAAAGGTAGATCCTTTTGTAATAATTTCACTGGGAACAAAAAATATATAATAGATTTTATTTAAACGAAACCGAAAACATTTCATTGCAGCAGCTCCCCCGCCATATGAGTTGAAGTTTCTTTTTATGTGTAGATCAAACAAGGAAATCTCTGTGTGGACCTATGGTTATGTACTCTAAACACATGCTTATTTTCTAACAAATATATTGCTCAGGTATGTTGAGCTGAGGAAATAATCAAACTTGGGCGGCCATTTTATCGCTAATTTTACCTCTGAAACCAGGAGACCCCAATTCCTTCAACTTCAATCATAAATATCTCGACTTGTATCCAAGATAAATGGGGTTTTTTTCTTTTCGTTAAAAGCAAGGAAAATGAACATACTTTAAAGTGATACCAAGGCAATAGCACCACATGCCCAAAAATTGACAAGTGCCTGATTCCACTACGTCGTGACACATACTATATTACTGCAACCTTTTCTAAAAAAATAGTTTTGTAAACATTTAATTTGAAACTCTCTAACATGTTTTTTTATTTCAGGTGTCAAGTCTGGTGGTGGAGGCGGTGGAAATGGTAGAGCTGGAGGTGGAGGTGGAGGTGCTATGGGAGGAGGGGGAGGAAGTGGTGGAGCACCATCCGGCTTAGGGGGACTGTTTGCTGGTGGAATGCCAAAACTAAGGCCGGCAGGTCAATCAAGAGGTATGTGTCTTTTTACTTTTTGACGTCTATTGTGTTTACCATTTGCTCTCTGACATAATTTCATATCTCAAACTCTCTCTTCTTTTTCTGTTCACATTTTTACTTAAAAAGGCAATTATTAATTATTTCTGGGGTTTTTAACACTCAACTGTAATTTTGTGTAAATTTATTGTTAAAATATGTGGTGCTAATTATCTTAAAGGTGGAAAGTGCTATTGATTAGTAACAAGGACCAGATAGTTCATTGACATCTGGCTTGTGAGATATTCCACAAGAAAAGGAGAATGTTGTAGTTTGTCTTCTTTATTTATATCACATGTACTAATGGGACTGTTTTCCCAGGAAATTTGTCATTCATAGCTGTTTACTCATTGTTTGTACCCTTTCATTACCTCAGGTGCCGGAGGCCCAGCTCTAAAGCCACCAGGTTCTTCTAATGGACCCACTCGCAGCTCAGCCAGCTCCGTGGCTAATGGTGGGCCTCCGCCACCGCCCCCAAGTTCTAACAAACCAGCACCTCCTGCACCACCACCCAGCTTCAACAAACCTTCATCAGGACCACCTCCCCCTCCACCAGGTGCTCCTAAGCCCAATTTCAGCAAGGCTGGCCCACGGACTGGCCCACCCCCGCCACCTCCCAGCAGCAATAAACCACAAGATGGTGGAGGGTCTCGCCCCACCAGTGGCAATGCTTTCAGGGGTGGCTCCTCAGATGCTCAGAGACCCAGCGTTGCCTCGCTGGCTGCGGGGTTAGCCACCAAGCAGCAACATCCCCGAAGTTCACCACAGCAGTCTTCAGTGCCTAACGCTCCCCACGCTGGTGGTGGGGGCATACCTCCTCCTTTGCCCACGGGAGCACCTCCTCCCCCGCCAAGCCGGCCGCCACCCAACAGCAACAGACCTAACAGCATGGTGGGTCGACCTCTACCCCCTCCGCCACCTGCTAGCCACCTGGCTGACAGTAGCAACCTTTCAGTGGGTCCTGCAAGGCCGCCACCTCCTCCCCCCCCCAATAGGGCTGCCGCTCCTCCACTTCCACCCACTAGGACGACGTCCAATGCACCGCCGGTTGGTGGAACGATTGGTCGGTCTGGCCCTCCCAGTAACAGGCCCCCACCTCCAGTGAGGCGAGATGTCAACGGCAGTGGCACTGTAGGGCGGAGTCAAGGAGCACCGCCTCCAAGCCAACCTCCCAGTGTGCCACACAATCGATTGTCTGGAAGCTGGGGCTCTGGAGGTGATGGTAAGTAATTTTTCAAAATAGTTTATTCCCCCCTTCAGTACTGTTCGATTATTTATGCAGTATCAGTTCAATAGTAGGGCTGCCCCTCATTATGAATTTGGCAGAATCGTTACGATTTTTATTCAATTGTACGACAGTGCAATAGTTAAGTAATACTCCTGATTCTTATTTTTTAATTAAAATTTTTTGGCTACCACAACCCACTGCGCACAGGCAGACATCGCAACCACAATAGCTACATCTCTCTCCAAAAACTCATCCAAAGCAAACTACAACACCACCTTCCAAAACATCAAAACTAAGACTAACAGAGAACAACAGCACCTGAACTTCCACTCAAACAACACTAAAACCTACAACGCAGACTTCACATTGGACGAACTAATATCATGCATCTCAAACCTAGGCAATACAGCCACAGTTCCAAATGACATTCACAACCAGATCATTAGACATTTACCCACAGAAACACTTCCACTCTTACTAGTCATATACAACGACATGTGGCGGTCGCACTCTTCTCCAGAGTCTTGGCGTCTCGCCACTATCATTCCAATACCCAAACCTAACAAAGATCACACACACCCATCCAATTACAGACCATAGCACTGATGAGCTGTCTATGCAAACTTACAGAAAAAATGATTCACAGACGACTCTTGTGGTTTCTGGAGACGACGGTCTTCTAGTAGTTTTTGGTTAGCCGATGTGACTTGTTTCGGCTCCCATGAGTGAGTGCTACTTACTTTATCCGCCGCTTGCCTGAAGTCACGTGGGATGTCCTTTAGTAGGCCTACGTCACGATAACTATTCTAAAGGTGCATTCACTCTACATGTCCTATTCTAAAGATGTGTTCACTCTACATGTCCAAAGGTTGCGTTTACACATACACCACACATATCTCAAAAACTACTGAAGATGTCTTTAAAATTCAAAAAGCATATTATTATTGTTCATAAATGAACTCGGCACATGAAAATGCAAAAAAATGGGATTCTTCAAAATGTGTCATCTGGTCTCTTTTACCAGGCATGCTCACAATTTTCTATTTTTCCATTACTAAATACTCTACAATAACATGTGAGGCAGGTGCTCGTCAAAATAATGAAAGTCAAGAATCTGGCATTTCTCTGCAGGTTTAGGAATTTTTATCGGATTTCTTTTTTTGGCTCGACACCTTTCATGCCCTTTGAAGAACACCTTTCCTTGTGGATTTTACTGGAAAACTTTGATTAAAGGCATTACAGATATAAATTTTCAGTTTCAATGGACTCTCATGCTAAGGAAATAACTCAATTTTGGTGGCCATTTTTTTGCTAATTTTACCTCTGAAACCACCTCCTTTAATCTCAAATATCTTGAATTATATCCAAGATAAATTGATATATTTTTTTTCATCAAAAGCAAGGCAAAAGGACAGACTTTAAGGTTACACCAACTCCATATGCCCCAAAATTGAGGAGCACCTGATTCCATCGCGTCGTGACGCACATAGTGTGTCGCAAGCGAACACAATACAATGTAAAATGTAGAAGAGTGCATTACATCAAATTTTGCTCCCCAGTAGAGCCTGACAAAATTTTATCTGGTAATTATGAACATGCAATTTTTTTAGGCCTTGGTCAATATTAAAAAAAAAAAAAAAAATTAAATTAAATTTTTAAGTCGCCTGGAGAAACTTTAAAGGAACACCGGCATCTCAGGCCCCCGACAAAATATCTGGCGTCTCCAGATATCACCCACCCCGCTTAAGTCTTGTTTGGTAAACAATTTCCTTTGACGTTGAGCAGTGTGTGCGACATGTATTTAACAGATGTCATGAAAACCTCCTTATACCGCCAACTTCATGCTCGTCACAAGGTATATGACACCAGAGGAGACTCCATCCCGAAGCCTCCATTTTCTTTGCGGAGGCCACTGCCATTGAGATGGCACTAGACTCCGTAGAAAATTCTCCTAACAAATCTTTCCTTATCCTTTCTGACTCTCTATCTTGCATCATCTCACTTACAAGCTACACGCTCCTACACCCAAAAATGGTTGGGCTACAACAAAAAATACACGTCTTCACTGACAACGGAAAAAGCATCTTGTTCGCATGGATACCTAGCCATGTGGGCATCTGAGGAAACAAGCAGGTAGATGACCTAACGGAAAAATCCTTATCCCTTCTGTTGGGATCAATGACGAACACTCTCCCACAGACTGACTTTAAAAATAAAGTAAAAAAGTGCACCTCCAGTCTGTGGGAGAGCAACTGGAAAAAACAAACAAATAACAAACTTCACAATATTAAACCCAAACTGGGGCAGCGAAATCCTTCGGGCCTCTCCAGAAGAGACAAAGTCATTTTACTCGATCACGCATTGGACACACACCCTAACACACAAATACCTCCCTCAGGGAGAAGAGAAGCCGTTCTGTGTCTCAGATTTTACTATTAGACTCGTTTAACCGAATGTCTAGACTTTGGAGAGAAACGAAGGAAATACTTTGAATGCAAAAAATTGCAAGATATTTTTTCGTCGTTGTTCCCAACAGAGTTTTAGATTTTATGAAGGACATTGGCTTTTATGGGAAATTATAGAGTGAAATTAAGTTATTAAAAATGTTTATGTTATTTAGGAAAGTTGTTTTAGATTGAAAATATATTTAATATTTACTCCAAATTTTAGATATTTTAACATTTTAAGATCTAACTACTGACTTGAGCCCAGCCGTACAGTGAACTGTTGCGAATAGAACTAATTTGTGTTTCGTGCGCTCATATGACCTAATGCAGTTGTGAGCGCGGTAAAACCCCATACTAAACTAAATAAAAAGATTGGCCGTAAAAATAAAGTCAAAAACTACAACTCCAGTCTGTGGGAGACCCACTGGACAAAACAAACAAACAAACTTCACAACGTTAAACCCAAACGGGGACAGCTAAATCCTGCTGGCCTCTCCAGAAGAGACGAAGTCATTTTTATTCGATTACGCATCGGACACACGGCCCTAACACACAAATACCTCCTTCGGGGAGATGAGAAGCCGTTCTGTGTCGGATGCGACACAGATTTTACCATTAGACACATTTTAACAGAATATCTAGACCTTGGAGTTCGGAGAGACCCGAAGGAAATAATATTTTAAATGCAAAAAATTGCAAGATCTGTTTACCGCTGTTGTTCCCAACAGAATTTGGGATTTTATGAAGGCATTGGCCTTTATGGGAATTTATAAAATGAAACAAAGTTGTTAAACATATTTATGTTATTTGAGAGCTGTTTTAAATTGAAAATATATTTACCCTGAATTTTAATATTCAAGTCTGATAGTTGAACAGCCGTGCAGTGAACTGTTGCGAATGCAACACACTGTGTTTTGCGAGCTCATAGGATCTTCGGCAGTTGCGAGCGCCGTAAAACCCCATACTAAACTAAAACTTGGTGTTTCTATTTTTCTTCTAATTGATACGTGAAATGTATCCACTGCCCAAATGTCTTATTTCATCTGTGAAAGTTTAAAAGTTGTTAAACTGTACAGTCTTTCTTTGTGTACTTGTTTTAACAATTGAAGACCTGAGAACAACACTAAGGTCAATTCACACTTAAATGATTTAGAGAAAATGAGCGAAAACCTCACTTCATGAAATACTTAAAGTAATTTCCGATTAGAGGGCTTAAGAAGACTTTTTCTGGACTTGACCTTGTTGTTGCACTTAAGCTTCACATCTTTGAACAAGAATAACTTGCGTGTGAACAGAATAGTGCTTCATCGGTGCTATTAATAGATAGGTCTTTGTGACAGCTTTTGAATGATATTCTGTTTTTAGGAAAATGTGACTTAACCTTGTTGTTGTTCTCAGGTCTTCAAATACAGGTGCATTTTGATTGTGCAGACATTTAAACAGGGTGTAATTTGTTAACATTCTCTTTTTGATTGTCATAGTCTCGTTTGATTGTTACTCTTCTTTCTGTTGTTTCAGATTTCGAGAAACGGTTTCGTTTTCATCAATCTAACGAGTTCCCCCCGCCTGAACCCTTTGCAAATGTAAACAAGGTTTGTCCCAGCAAAAATCCTAAACATTCTGGTAAGTATTTCTTTTTGTTATTTGTTATGTTTTCTATTGTATGGAGAACTCAAGTGGGTGGTTGGCGGGTGCTCTGGTGTGGTTTGCTGCTTCTTTCCTATCAAACATCTATCGTCCTAATCTCCCCTTTTTCTTTTTTATGTTTGTTACTCTCTTGGAACACCTCTAATCTTCTGGCGCTCGTATGACCTTATGCAGTTGCGAGCGCCGTAAAACCACTACTGACATTAAGGAGAATCCGACTGGATGTACCATTTTCTCATTAAAAATGTATTTTTGAAGATGTTTTTTTGACACATCATTGACATAATAACAAAAATTGCATAAGAACATTTGCTGTCAGAGTCTACAGTTTCTACGACTCATTAATATAAACAAACCCCTTCACAGTGCATACCAAAATTTAGGTCAGCTTGTGACCTTTCTTAAGCTGTGAATCGCAATTATGAATATATATAAAATCAAAACAGTAAAGGATGGGAAGTTTTGCGCATTCGAACCCTGTTATGGTTCCTGAGCAAAGCAAAGCCATGAGGCCACTCTAAGAAATTGTTAACATTGTCATTGACAACAATTTCTACAGCCCATTCATAGAAATTAAGCCCTTCACATTTTCATATCTAATTTTAGGTCAGCTTGTGTCCTTTCTCTTGGTGTGTAGGGCGCGTAAGTACATTGACAGTAAAGAAAGGGAAGCACCACGCATAGACATACTTGTGATACTTTGAAACTGAAACAGTGTCTTAACTCTTCCAAGTCCTGAGTTTTTTCCTCCGTTTCGTTGAATTTTTTTTCTACAGTCACCTAAACCTGATGCACTATGTTTCATTATAACCCCCAAAAGCTTGCCTCCTATTTTTAAATAGCGTAAACAAAGGCTTAGTCGTTACTAAAAAACTTGGTTCAGGAATAGTTCAGACAAACAAACAAAATCTTGCACTAAATAAAACGAAACAGTTGTCACTAGTACTGGTTGCTCCCAGCGTCTGATGGGGAACAGGGTTATTACCGCTGGACGCTCCTAGCATCCGATGGGGTTCAAAGAGTTAAACTGCTTTTCAAAATTGCACTTGGAGTCGTAAATGTGTTGTCAAGGTTTTTAGAGACAAACGACACAGCAGGCTGATAGTTCAATTTCCATTTGGAGTAGAACTCAATCCAGATCTAAGGGAAACTTTTTATCCAGTTTTCTCAAAATTTTGTTTTCGAACCCTACCCAACAATATTAACCTTTCCAGCCCCAGCCATTTTTCTGCACTCCCTAACCTCAGTTTTAGGTAATTACAGCAGGCAGCAGACCCCAGTTCAGCCAATACAGCAGTATTTCAGCAAAAAAGCATGCATTCTAAAAGGTGACGTAATGTCTTTTTTATGAGTTTTAGATAATAACATATATAACAAAGTTTAAAAGTAAATGAACAAAGATTATGAAAAGTTTTAATTAAGTTTGCCGCCATTTGGAAAAATGGACAAATTCGGAACTCACTGAAACTGAAAATATACGCTCTTAGGACAGGCTGCGGCTTGAGCGCGGCTGAGAATATACGCCCTTTGGACCGTGGGGCTGGAAGGTTAAACAGATCACTGTAGCTATCAATCTTAGAAATTTTAAAGGCATGTTGATCAGAAATGTGTCGTACGTTACGTTATCTTTCACCAAGCATACATCCGCATATTGTCAATCACTATTTTGTTTATCTGTTAGGTCAGTGTGCACTTCATCGGGAAAAAAACGCGCTGATTATCCTTCATTTTTAGAGGAAATATGTGCTTTGTCAGATTTCAGTGGATGGAGCTAACGAAAGTGTTTCTTGTGGGTGGTTGGCGGGTGCTCTGGCGTGGTTTGTTCCTCCTTCCTATCAAACATCTATCGTCCTTATCTCCCCTCCTTCTTTTTTATGTTTGTTACTCTCTTGTAACACCTCTAATCTTCTGGCGCTCATATGACCTTATGCAGTTGCGAGCGCCGTAAAACCTCTACTAAAAAAAGTGTTTCTCATGCGTTTTGTCTATTCATTCCTCCTCAGTACACCAGAGACCACCTCCACCACAACCCCCCAGGTAGAAGTCAAGTGAAGTCTAAAGAGACTGCTACGCTGCAAATGAATTTTGTTCTTTTTTTTGTTTTTTGGGTGAACTCGGGCCTATACATCTGCGGGGAGACTGCAATACTAAATCCAGGAGCTCTCCAGGCCCAGTTCTGGACTGTATTTCTTTGCCAGGCAGATCATTTTTGTATAGCACATATCCACTTGTACTATCACTTTGAATAAGGTACTGCATGTTAATACAGCTTCTACTCTGGAGTCCCTTGAAACTGAATTCCCAAATGTCGAGCTCAAATGGTTTGCACAGTACTCTATGCATGTGAGGGAGTTTCTAAAGATTTTTATAAAATTGTTATCACCAGCCTCTAGCTGACTGGCACATTTTTTCAAGGCTTTGTAATGATTTACATGAGGAGATGTGCTTATTCATGTGCTATAATGGATATGTATTCTTATGTCACCAAGACATTTTCCCCACATTCATTCCACCATTGACAATAAATGAAGTTCACTTGGCCAACTGATCATGGTAAAACAAAATCAAGATAACCAGCTGCATTAGATTTTTCTTTGTTTTCCCCTTATTTTTCTCTTTGTGACAAAATTTCCATCTTTATAGGTCTAACTCTCTCCTGCTTTGTTTTATGAGTAGATGTATGACAATGCTATCTAAAATCTATACATGCCATGTATGTTATTTGGACTGCCATTTGTTTAGCTAATTTTAATTGTTAAAGTCTCTCAAAATATGTTTACTTGAAGTACACAATGTACAAGTACATATATTCATACTTCAGTTTTTTGCAGGTATTGTTCATGTTTGTGGCCTGACCTGTAAGCATTTTGCAAGTTTCGTGCATATTATTTTTTTATGGTTAGAAGTTTGTAGAATGTGTAGACTCAGTGAGCATCTAAGTTGCTTTCTGTTGCAAAGTTGGGCTTCCAAGGATTGTGGCAAAATAATTTTATCTTTTGGTTTTCAGGTTTTCTTTTAATGTTTCTTTAGGGACGCTTTTCTTCAAATCTTAAAGTTATTTTTATCAACATCATATTTCATTTATCTCAGAAGAATTACTGACTCTGAGAAAAAGAATGAAGTATTTAGAGATGTCTTTGTAATGATTTGTATTAATTTGAAGTTCATTTGAATTGTCATGTAAGATGCTTTCACCAGTTTGAGCCCAACGTGATCTGAATTTCCCCATAGTCAAGGTAGTGTACCCAATATTTCATGGGGTCCTCACAGCTTAAGAAGATATACGCTGTTCTGCTTCTTGCCAGAGGTTTGAAAGCCATGCTTAAATTTGATAGACTCAGGTATATGTCTAAGGGCAACTGCTTTTACCCTTCTGTGCACTGAATGCATGGCACAACTTATGGTGCTCATGTAGAAGTCTGCCCAAAGCTGAAATGCAAGTGCACAGTATGATCCAGTATGCTCAAAGAGGAAGTGTTATAGGAGCCTAATCTGTTGGTGTAGTCTTACATCTGCATACATTTGGCTGTGTGTAAATGCATACAGTTGGCTGTGTGTAAATTGTTTATGTGAGATTCTTGGCTGCATGGATATGGACAGATATTCGTTTTTTGTGCCTTTTTTCGTGGTCTGTCCACTCCCTTCCCTCCTCGTATAACACAAGTAATTTGATGTTTTATAAACATGTGGACACTCTTTGGTTGATAAAATTACTATCTCAGAAAGGGTTTGAAGAAGCCAAGGACTACACTGGATTGGAGAATTATTATTTTGATTCCTGAAGACCAGAGAGATAGTACTTCATTTTTTTTTTTTTTCTACTCTGTAAATTGTAAAGCAATTTTATTTTGAAACCTTATGTTTATGGTTTCAAGAGGTAGTGTTGCATGAACTTTGTACAGAAGGTGGTAATTGGTCATTGCAAGTATTAATAGGTCGATACACAGTTGTCCAAAGGGGGAGACAGCTAATGCGTCTGTGATTTCAATGCTCATTATCTTGTCCGTGTCTTACGTAACTTTTGAGTGAATCTCCTTTGTGAATAATGAGTGAATGAAATGACATTATATCAACATGGTCATAAGTACGACATGATTTGAAGCCTTTGGGAACAAGTAGTGGTCCACAGTTGATGGCCATTATTTGAACTGTTTTTAATAGATTTTTTTTTTGGTTTTTAGCCCATGTGCTCACATATCATCTGGTTTTCTTTTGATCTGATTAAACTCATTCATTGTGATATGCTGGCAGTCATTTTCTTTACGTGGCATAAACCTTTTCAGTTTTATAATTTGTCCAGCTTCTTCACTTTTTCAAAATTGTAAAACTGTGGATATGACCCAGCTTGAAGCTTTCTAAGAGTGGTATTATTGCTATGACTGTCTTTAATGACTATAAATGAATGAAGAAGAAATGTTAATGGATAATGTTTATTGGAATATAGTGTTGGAAGTCATCCAAATTGCAATGTTCTTTATTTCTTGTAAAGTTTTCATGAATGTGTGGCACTACTTTGACATTTTAGACTCAATTTTTCGCTTTATTTATTTTTTTCAGTGCTGTTGTTAGAGTGATTATTTGCTTGGGTTTTTTGTGGATTTTTTTTTTTGGGGGGGGGGAGGAGACAAGTTTAATGATCGTGAATACAATGTGCTTTATTAGAGGGAAAGTGTAAGATGTGGCACCATATTGGGTGATGAAGATCAATTTGTAAATAGGCAAGGCTTGTTTTTGTCTTCTCTGTGAAGAAATACAGCCAAACCTTGTTATACCGCCCTCTGTTAAGGCCCGGTAACATATAACGATAAATTGTACAAAAACTGGACGATCTTGCCATCATACGATAAATCGTTGGGTGTAACTACAAAATTGTACAAAGTTTGAACGATGGTTTGGAGACTCGGTCGAGAAATCAAGCGCTGCTTGATATTTTCCGTGCGATCACAGTCACACTTACGGGAGACGCGCTGTGACGTAGATTCACTTTGAAATTTGCCGCAGCGCAGAGCTAAACTCAGGGCTCAAAATTTTTTAAATAATTATCGTAGGTAAAAACTTATTGCATATTCGGAATCAGCGTCTCAAAATAAGCACAGTTACTCGCGGTGAACCTGATTTGGTGCGTTATTATGTATATTTTAGCAATTTTATTATTTAGTTGATCGTCGATGGTGAAGCTGTGCATCATCAAGGTCTCTCGGTGCGTTGCACATCTGCAGTCAAGTCAAAGCTTCCGGTTCTACACACAACATGGCAGGCCTACAGTATGGCCACCCTTTTCTAAAGACACTGTTCTGCTATATCAAAATGTACAGGGAAGGAGGGAAAGGGGGGGGCTCTCGTGATCTAGAGATACAGTGTTTGCCTTTCTTTCATTAGGTCCAGAGCTCGAAACCTTCTCATAGAGTACAGGCAAATCGCTGTCGTCGCAAAGTGACATGGTGGCTTTATGACGAGGAATCTCCTCGATCGAAAGAAAACTGGACGATAGATTGGAATGTGTTAACAGACAACACAGTTCGATGAAACGGACATTTCTCTCATACGATGAATCTGATACAATTTATCGTTGCATGTAACTGGGGCATTATACCACGAGCCCGGCTAACTTCCAGATTTTGCCAATGTACAAAAAAGGAACGCCTATATAAACATAGTATTTGTTCCTTTACACCACCATCCTTCAACTGTCTGAGTTGTACACGGTCCTTATTAAACAAATGTAAATTTGCCATGAGATACTGCCAGCGAATTGGCCACCAGAGGTACACACTATAAACGTTGCACAGCTCTGCGAGTTCTGCTTATTTCTAGCGTTTGTCATGGATGCTCCTCATTTGTGCTAATTATGAGATTGCTAGAATTTGTAGGCTTTGTCTATATTATAACATTATAGAAAACGAAAATTTAATTCTAAAGTCACCTGGTGAAACTAAAGAAACTGCGCCACTTTGGTCTGTTGGCAAACTATATGGTGTTGCAGGATATCAGCCCGATGACCAAAAGGCTGGCAGGCACCCATGAGACTTTTGTATTGTGAGGACTACCGCTTAAGTCTAGGTTAAAGGTCTTAGGCGGCTTGAGGACTGACGAGTATCAGATTTAACCCCCCCCCCCCCCCCCAAAAAAACCCTACGTCAACACAAATTGCTTATAGCTTGTTCACTTTTGTCTGTCCACGAACATTTTTTTAATTTTACCTATGCCCGCGAAACTCTCCATGGCTTTTCTGCAGGCCACCAACCAAACAAAATGTTTTTTTTCCAAAAATTTTGATCTAGGAATTTGCTCCCCCCCCCCCCCCCATTCCGTAATATTACATATTTCACTTATAACAATAATACTAATAATTATGACATTTATGTGGCTCAGATCCGTGTTACAATCGTTGTCCTGTTCGCTCTACATAATATTCATGAAAAACTTACACACGTATGTATACGCGCACATAATAATATGTGTGTGCCTAAAGAAAGGTCGAAAAAGTCGGATTTTGACCTTTTTGGGTTAAGGGTTGCATGTTATAGAAAATTCAATGCTGAACACAGTGGTTTTTGAATCGTTGAGATATCTCAAGTTGTTTTTGAGATATTGCACATGTTGTGAGATAGGGTATAAAGATCTAATTTTGAAAAATTAGCTTTTAAGTTCAGGACACTTACAAACTTGAAAAAAAATGTTTCTAGTGTATTTTTTTCATTGAAAATTCATTTCCAATTTGGCATTCAGTTGACATCAATATCATGATTAGAATTCAATGGTAAAACATAGCGGGGAAGAGAAAACATGCTTCAAGAATAGATTTCTTATATATGTTAAAAAAATACCCTCGTCCGTCTCAAAATTATTCAAAATAAAATATTTAGAAGTCAAATCAATGAAAACCCTTTTAATACGTTTAAAAATTGTGGAACTATCATTTTTTTTATGGAAACACATTTTGGTAAAAAAAGTGGGTTTTTTTTGTCATTACCAGCCTGTAGCTCAAAATTCTCTGTAGCGACTTTTTCTATCTTTCTTTAGGCAGGCACACATATATGCAGTTATACATTCACTAAAAAATAACAGAGTAAATGAGGGGAGCTGTCGTGGCCTAGAGGTTAAGGTGTTCGCCTCTCATTCAATAAGTCCCGGGTTCAAATCAGGGGGGGCTCTCGTGGCCTAGAGGTTAAGGTGTTTGCCTCTCATTCAAAGGTCCCGGGTTCGAATCCGGGTAGCGACCGAAAAATTTTCTTCTCTAAAATTGTCTCCTTTCACCTCCTTTCCTGCTCTCTAGCAATGTTCTGTTGTCTGCTTTCAATTCCACTTTCTGCCCCCACCCCCTCACCTCCTTTGCCCCCTCCTCTGGGCTCCTGACTCTTTCTGCAGCCTTTCTACTATTACTCCTTGACTCCTCCTTCCTGCTGTCTTTCTGCCACACCCCTGATCTTCTGGTAGGAAAGATCTACACCTAGCCTTCTCGGACAAGGGCGAAAAATCTCGGAGGGCCCGTGTGCAAGTTGCGCACGTTAAAGATCCCTTGGTGGTCTAAAATCGATAAGAGTAGGCTTCGGCCGCCACCCGTGCAAAATTCAAAATTTCCTACCCACTGAAAATATTAGGTGTGTCCCGCGCGCTCATATGACCTATGCAGTTGCGAGCGCCGTAAAACACTTTACAAAAACAAAAACAAAAAAAATCAAATCAGGGTAGCGACATAAATTTTTCTTCTCTAAAAATGGTCTCGTTTCACCCCCCTTTCCATCTCTCCAGCAACGATCTGTCGTCTCTTTTCGTTTCCACTTTCTTCCCCCACCCCTTTACACCCTTTGCCCCCTCCTCTGGTTCCTTACTCTATCTGCAGCCTTTCTACTGCTACGCCTTGGCTCCGTACTTCTTACTGCTGTCTTTCAGCCACCCCCCCTGATCTTATGGTTGGAAAGATCCACACCTAGCCTTCTCAGACCAGAACGACATATCTTGGAGGTCGCATGTGCAAGTTTTGCACGTTGAGGATCCCTTGGTGGTCCAAGTTCGATGAGTAGGCTTTGGCCGCAGCCCGAGCAAAATTCAAAATTTCCTACCGTCTGAAAATGTTTAATGTGTCCTGCGAACTCATATGACCACATGCAGGTGCAAGCGCTGTAAAACACTTACAAAAAAAAAAAAAGAAAAAAGAAAAAAAGAGGAAAAAAGAGAAAATCATTCAAGCAAAATATTGCATATACTCTCTTCCTTACGAAGAGGAAAAAATTGACTTATATGTCAATGTCAAAAGTGTCTTAATTACAAATAAAACAAATTACAGTGGAATTCTGATAAAGTCAACACCTCGAGACCGAAAAAAAGTTGACTTTGAGCAAGGTTGACTTTATCCATTGTACAACTGGCCCCTGAAAACTGAAGATGACAGCTACAAAATTACAAAGTACCTGGTAACAAGATGTTAGCTCAATTTCAGTGAGTATGGTTCTGAAGTTGTCACCAAAACAAGAGATAATGAGTGAACAAAGTAATTGGAGGTGTGCACACCACTAGCTCAGGCCCTGATATCTCTTCTTAAATAAAGTCGTCTTGGCATTTTGCCCCAAATTGTTGTCTTTACGCAAGGTTAACAGTGAAGCGGTTGACTGTATCAGAAGCACAATTACTTAACTCTTTGAACCCCATCGAACGGGAGCGTCCAGTGGTAATAACCTTGTTCCCCATCGGACGCTGGGAGCGTCCAATACTAGTGACAACTGTTTCGTTTTATTTAGTGCTAGTTTTTGCTTGTTTTTCGGAACTTCCCGAACCAAGTTTTTTAGTAATGACTAAGCCTTTGTTTCCGCTATTTAGAAGTTTGAGGCAAGCTTTTCGGGTTATAATGAAACATAGTGCTCCGGGTTTAGGTGACTAGAAAAAACTCTGGGAAACGATGGAAAAAACTCAGGGCTTAAAGGTTTAAAGAAGGTAAAAAACGGGACCACAGGGAGGGGTTGACTGTAAGCAAGAGTTGACTTTAAGCATGCTGACTTTATCAGGATTCCAGTGTATCTGTTATTACTGATCATTTTTGCTTAAAACAAAAACTTGCGGTGTCATTTTACCTTTTCAGCCGCAGCGGTGTATTATGTGCGAGATGGCATAGTCGTGCTTGCTGCTCGAAGACCTACTGTATCGCCACGGCATGTGCTGTGCTTACCGTTCTAAGTGAAAAGTTAACTCTCTTTTCATGTGTTATTTTTAACAAAATTATGGTGTCACAATTTTTTTCCTTGTAATTTTTTCATCTCACCAAAGTGTAATATTACTTTCTTACATTCTTCTTACAGCAGCCAAAGACACCCCCGCCTCCCCCCGGCATAAGATTATATTTGAACATCCCCCTATTATTTTTTTTCACCTGCTTTAGGCTTACATCATAGAAAACGTGTTGGTATCTTGGTTTGCAGTGACCTTTATGAATGGGCTTTTAGATTCTGTTGGTCATCCAACTTTTAGACCCGTATGCAAAGATCTGAGAAGATTTATCATTTCATTTGGTCTTGCT